GTCCTTAGCCATATGCCCCTCCTTGCCACATTTGTAGCAAGACCCTGCCCGACAGGCGCCATCGTGACCCTTGCCGCACTTCCCACAAGTGCGGCCCTTCTGGCTCCCGGGTCTGGGATCAGCGGGCTTGGCCCGCTTGGCTGCCGGCTGGGACTGTGCCGGCCGCCGATCCCTCCCCATAGACTCCGCCTCCTCCCTGGCCTGAGTCTCAAGCTCAATCTCCCTCTTCCGAGCATTTGCCTGAAGCTCGGCAAATGTCCGGTACGAGGAGTTCGCAGCGAACTCCCGAATATCCCGCCTCAAAATGCTCAGATAACGGCTCATACGTGCCTGCTCGGTGGACACGTGCTCAGGGCAAAACATCGCCCTCTCCTGAACATCCTCGTAATCGCTGTAACTGACTCGGTACCCTGCTTGAGGGTCAGAAACTCCTGTGCCAGACGTTCCCTCTCCACCTGAGGAATATACTCATCTCGGAACATGGAAGTGAACCTCTCCCAGGTCACTGTCGCAAGCTCGGTCAGTGTGAAATGCGCAGGGGACGAGCAAGTGAAGAAGCATCCCTCCATATCAGATATCCACCTCATAGCTGCCACTGGGTCCTGTGTACCATCAAACTCTGGTGGCTTGGTGTTGCTGAACTCCCTGAATAACATCGCATCACCTCCCTGGGGTCTCGCCGCAGCAATCGCTGCGGTAGCTGCTGCAACCGCAGCCTCAGAAAGAGCGGCATAGCGCTCGTCAAACGTCTCAATCAAAGCGGTCTTAATAGACCCGAACATCTCTGGTATCTCGGCTCTGATGACCGCAGCCACCTCCTCATGAATGATCTGTCGAATGTCCTCATCACTAGATCCGGCATCCTCCGGCATGTGTCGTGTCCTCACCATGATCAACCTCTGAAATACAACATGCGATAATTAGAATTCACTCGAACACTCTTACATTCAACAATCCACCCCTCCTTGATTCTTGGCATCCCCAGATTCTTATTTGAACTGTGTACCGCTCCGGTGCTTTTAGTAGTACGGGCCCAATACTACTGTCCGCACCGTCTCGGTACACACCCCAAATCGTCCTCTTCGGATCCCAGTCCCAAGTACTCTATTATACTTAAATCTCTCTGAACAGATCTCACACAAAACCCTAGCTGCTACCTAATTACTCTCAGCGTCTCATAGCAGCTCACCATTCCCTAAGCTAAGGCATCACAAAACAGGCCACTCTAGCCCTATCAGCAATACCTAGCCTACTCTAGCATGCACACACATCACAATAATAGTTATTACATAACAAAAGATATTTTGGGAATTCACCGTTCGGGCGCTGACTGATCGTACACACGTTTCTTCCTGGAAAACCCTTTACTCTTAGAAAATTTTGGTTTTTATTTTGAAAATATCTCTTCATTTCCTCAGTTTGAGTTCAAATACCCCCGAAGGTGTACCCGAATCCCTCAAACCAAG